ATATATATATGTGTCAGTGTAAACTACTTGTATCTGATGATGACAAAATCTTGTCGAAACGTTGTACATTTGCTGTTATGTTAAACTTATGTCAAAGTTTTTCTTCATTACGCATTCAAGCCGTCTCCAACCATTATTAAACTGTAATATTTATTGTTTATCTATTATATATATATATATATATTGGCTGATAATTCCTGTTTCACCCTGTACTTAAGCTTTTTAAATGAACACCAAATGTATGTAAGAAAGCTAAGTTCAAAGGGTAATGATAACAACGTTTACACTAGAAATAGCCCCCAAGTGGCACAGCGGCATGTCTGCGAACTTACAACGCTAGAAACCGAGTTTCGATACCTGTGGTGGGCAGAGCACAGATGACCCATTGTGTAGCTTTGTGCTTAATTACAAACAATCAACCTCTAGAAATATGATTTTTTAAAATTACCACTAGTTATTAATAATACGGATACTTCGTTTGAAACTGTGTCACCTAAGTGAAATTGGTTGACACCATTGTTTTGGTTTTTGCGTTATTAAGAAACAGAAGAAAGAAGAACAAGAAATTCAAACTCTTTGCCATGATATTTACAGATACTCCCAGAACTTGTGACTCAATCATTACATAGATATTGTTATAAAAGGAAACACTATATAGTATTGTAAAGTTCTGATGACCTATTGAGGAGGTATTTAAAATTTAATTTCGATGAACAATCCGAGCCATACCTACATAGGCAATGCTACTACCTGCCTGATAAATCTCAATACAAAATATATACATACGATTTCGTGATTCTACTACTGGCGCTAAACTCACCGAAAATATTGTTGCCAATAATGTTTTACTGGTAGTAACCACTGTGTTAAAAAAAAACAATCATTTTTATTCAACGACTTTTTCGCTTATATTCATTAAAGCAATGTTTTGTTTGTTTAATGCGAACTATAGAATGGGTTAACTGAGCTGTTTCACAGTAGGGATCGAACACCGAATTCTTGTCATAATCCTTCACGCTTATCACCGAGCTATGGAAGATTAAGGGAGTGGTTCAGAGTTTTATACAAACGTTGAAGTGGCCGTCAATCAAATTCTGTGGTTTTAATTCTATATATCTTTAACTATTTGTTCAGAAATTTTTTTGGAATTTTTACAGACGTTTGGTTCCAATAAATCATCCTTCCTTTAAAAACACTTTTTTTGTTCAATTGTTAGTTTTTTTTAAAAACTATTCATGTGAACTATATATTTAAAGTACTGTTTGAAAATTTCATTGAATCACTTGTTCATCGATCTCGTAATCGTGTTAAAGAAGATCATTAGTTTAAGATTAATTACTTTGAAAGTTTCAAAATAATTGATACCTAAAATTATGTCATTTAGTGATAAATATCTCAGATGAAAATATTAAATCTTTTGAAGTGTGCTTACCTATGTTTACTCGTTACATTAGTCCTTCAGTGGCACAGCGGTATGTCTGCGGACTTACAACGCTAGAAACCGAGTTTCGATACCCGTAGTGGACAGAGCACAGATAACCCAT